GATCATGACCTGAGCCGAAGGCAGTTGCCCAACCAACTGAGCCACCCAGGCGCCCCAATCTTAATTTTATTTAATTGCCACTAAATAGCTCTTTTCTAGCAGTAAATACCAAGATTTTAAAGGTACTCCTGGTTTTATAAAGAAATAAAACATGTTGAGATACCGGAGGTTTCTTTTCATGCAAGAAAAGAACATCTTACTGCACAAAAATTGGGAAATTATGGGAGCATTTCATCAGCTAGGGAGTCATGTTTATGAAAAAATTGATTTAGTGACTTTGTTTCCTAAATTAGTTTTACTATTATTCAGGTGTAATTGACGTACAACATTGTTAGTTTCAGGTGTACAACCCTAGTGATTCTATATTTGTGTATATTGCAAAATGATCACCACAGTAAGTCTAGTTAACATCCATCACCACTTACAGAATTTTTTTGTCTTGTGAAAAGTTTTAAGATCCACTGTCTTAGCAACTTTCACATATGCAATATAGTATTATTAACTGTGTTTTCCATATAGTACATTACATCCCCATGACTTATTTATTGTATAACTGGAAATTTGTGCCTTTTGGCCCCCTTTACCCATTCAGTGTACCTCCTCCCCCACCTCTGGCAACCACCAGTCTGTTCTCTGTGTCTGCGAGTTTGTTCTGTTTTGTTTTGAGGATTCCACATAAGTGGGATCACATGGTATTTGTCTTTCTCTATCTGACTTATTTCACTTAGCATAATGGCCTTAAGGTCCATCTGTGTTGTTGCAGATGGTAAAATTACATTCTTTTTTTTTCATGGCTGAATAATGTTCCATTGTATAGATTTCTTTTCTCTGTTTCTGAAAGATTTCATTGTACTTTGCTTACATGAACGTATATTTTAAGTGGTCTCAATTTAACAGTAAGTCCTGATTTTTGAAATAGGTTTTCCATTTTTAACATTACTGTTACAAAACGTATGTAGCTCACTTTATGCAGGGCTTCTGTAAAGTTGTCTATGTCAGTTTTTGTGAACATGTTACTATTAGTATGTTTATGTCTTTAAGTTACTTCTACAACATTGAGAATCTACCTAAAAGTGACCCTGGAGGGGTCATTTACGAGAGAGCTGATCTCATAAATATTTGTGAATGAATGAAGTTTAAGTGCAGTAAGCAAGTTGCTACTCACTCACATTATGGTGCCTCTTGTTTGAGAAAGCAGAAATTAAGTTTTGTCAATCTTAATTACTTGTCTTGTATGTCTGGATTTTATCATGCTTTCTAAGTTATTTCCATACTGAATTTTTTCACCTCTCTGTCATGTTTGAATTTTTTTAATATTTTTTCTTGTTTTGAAGTTTAGTTTCCAACTATCTTTAATAAACATTTGACTGAGGAAATAAATTAGACAAATAAAATCAATAAATTAGAACATAAAATACAGTATTACAAGACTAGTGTCTCTCCTCTCCCACTTCCGCACATTAAAAAAAACATAATTCAAGATAGATTTATATCTTGAGCACTGTTGTTTGCCAAGCATGAGAATTTTCAAGAAACTAAGTCTGATGAAGTATCCTTATCCCCTATTTTGCTTACACACGGATGTGTATACCCATATACTCCTGTCAGGGGTTTTTTATTATTATTTTTATTTACTTATTTGACAGAGAGAGACACAGCGAGAGAGGGAACACAAGCAGGGGGAGTGGGAGAGGGAGAAGCAGGCTTCCTG